TATATATATATATATATATATAAGTTACTGGGCGATGATGGCGCACACTTTTAATCCCAGCACTCAGGAGGCAGAGGCAGGTGGATCTCTGTGAGTTCAAAGCCAGACTGGTTTACAGAGCTAGTTCTAGAACAGCCAAAGCTACACAAAGAAACCCTGTCTTGAAAACAAAAACAAAACAAAACAAAAAGTTGCAAATGAAATAGCAGGGGTTCTCATTGGCCTGGAGTTCCCAAATAAGTAAGGCTTATTTGGCAGGGATCCACCCGTTTCTACTTCTCCAGCACTGGGATTACAAGCACATGCCACTATACCTGGTGTCTTAGTTAAGGTTCCTATTGCTGTAACCAAACACCATGGCAAAAACAAGTTGGGAAGGAAAGGGTTTATTCAGCTCACACTCCCATATCTGTTCATCACCAAAGGCAGTGGGGACAGGAACTCCAACAGGGTGGGAACCTGGAGGCAGGAGCTGATGCAGAGGTCATCGAGGGGTGCTGCTTGCTGGCTTGCTCAGCCTGCTTTCTTCTAGAACCCAGGACCACCATCCCAGGGATGCCATCATCCACAATGGGCAGGTCCTGCCCCTATCAATCACTAATTAAGAAAATGCTCTCCAGGCTGGCCCACAGCCAGATCTTCTAGAAGCATTTTCTCAATAAAGGTTCTCTCATCTTAGATGACTAAAGTTTATGTCAACTTGACACAAATCTAGATAATACACCTGGATTTTTTATGGGAGTACCGCAGCTCAAACTCAGTTTCTCATAATTGAGCAGAAAACACTTGACCAGCTGAGCTGTTTCTCTAGCCCCAGACCTTCTGTCTCCTGAAAAGAGAATTCTATCAAAAGGTAGCAGAGGCTCAAGAAACTCGAGCGTTTGCCTAACATACAGGAGACTCTGTGCTTGATCTCAAACACTTTTCAAAATAATATTTTTACTATATGTTATAGGTATAGATGCTTTGCCTGAGTGTGTGTTTGTGCACTGTGTGCATGTCTGGTGTCCACAGAGATCAGAAGAGGGTGTTAGATCCCCTGGTATTGGAGTTACAGATGCTTGTGAGCCACTCTGTGGGTGCTGGGAATCGAAACCATGTCTTCTAGAAAAGCAACAAGTGCTCTTAACCACTGAGCCTTCTCTCCAACCTCTTAAGTACTTTTTTTGATATTATAAATAAGTTTTTCTGCTGCTTTAAGCAAACAGAAATGATGGAAAGCCAATACGGAACATTTGGCTGTGTTTAGAAAGTATCTTCAAGTACTGCAGAGCCCTTAACAGTCAGATCTCAAGTCCTGGCAACATTCCAGGCACATGTCACTACAGTCACAGCTAAATAAACTTAAGGCCCAAATGTGTCTCACACAAGGGGTTCTAACAGTATAGACATGAACCAGATAGAAAAACATGGCTTATAAATCTCAGCCCCATGCCATTTCTGAAATGATGTCATCCCTTTACACCTGGAACTCTATCTGGCTGTTTCTCAGAAGTTATTTTAAAACACTGTAGTTCAAATGATGCATGAAGGCAAACGATGAAAGCTGTAACCGTTTACAGCGGTGGAGCACACGCTGCTTACAGTCTAGTCCTGTCCACCTGTTAAAACCGGTGCTCTCATGGCTCTGCCAGACGTTTCGATGGCTTCTTAAGTGAAAGCCTGTGGCCTTAAAGTAATCCTTGGTATCTGTGCCACAGGGCTTCCTCATGGGTGTGAAAACCTTCCAGCAGCCATTTATGAGCTTTCACAAACTCTTGGGATGACTTCCAAAGCAGAACCTACATTTGCCAAATTATACTCGTTGTGAAACAGTGTTAGAGTGACATTGTCATGTATTGAACCCACAAGCAGAAATGTATCAGTCACATGATCCTATCAGCAATTTGTTTCTTTAAATAGACCAAATATGGTGTAATTCTTTTTTAAATACAATGTATCTAACAATTTAAAAGAATAACAGTAAAAAATGTTATAATGGCAATCACCGATTCTAGGACCGATGAGATAGCTCACCCAATAAAGGCACATACCAAAAAGCTTCCTGAGCTGAGTTGGGTCCCCAGGACTGACTTGGTGGAAGGAAAGAACAAGCCCCGCTCCCAAAAAAAAGTTGTGTGTATACACACACACACACACACACACACACACACACACACACACACACACACATAAAAAATAAAATACAAAAGAAATCATCAGTTCTAAACCTGATGCTTGAGAGAAATAACCAAGAACAGGGGGTTCTGTAGCAGTCTGGGCCACTGGTGTCCCTGCCCTTGGGTGGCCATCTGAGGCATCATCTTTGACTCAGCACCTTTTCATAGCTTTGAAAATGACCACTTCTCAACATTCTCCTCGAATGAGTAATTCCATCTCTTCCAACAATGCCTCATAAATGCAACTTTTACTTCTGGAGTTATCTTTAAGTTAAAGTTATTCATAAGTATTGTGTTCTCATCTGTGCTCCCTGACTCTGAGTGGTAAGACAACAGTTTTCTAACTTTTAACATATTCACCTCAGCCAGCATTTACATTCCAATTACCGTGCAAAACACAGGAGGACCATGGCAGACCACAAATAGGAACACCCAAGAGGCAGAAGGCATGCTCCCAGACAAGGAACTTTAATAAAAGTCAGACTGTGACAAGTTGCACACAAAGCAGACTCACTCGTTGCTGTGGAAGCCCAGGGGATTGAATACTCATTGTGAAGACTGAAGGCGGGAGGAAAAATGACATTTGAACCGATCCTGACAGGTCCTTCTGAGCCCTTCTACAAAGCTAAGGACATCATGGAGTTTGGGGCTGAGGATGGGTCGAAGTAGAAAGGGCATTTTTTTTCTTTGAATTTTTATAACAGATACAAAACCAGAAAGAGATGCTCATAAATGACTCCAGCACTTGAACTGTCTTTGGGAGTGGCCATAAGTTCGAGTCATTTGGAAGGATGGCTATCTGTGCTGACTTGCAGGAAATATGAGTCAGCGTGTCTCATCTGCTCAGCACGAGAGGTGCAGCCTGGAGATTTGGAAAACACCAGGCTAAACAAATCAGACACCAACCTGCTTTGTTTGTATTGACTGATCCAGACACACATCCTGCAAAAAGGAGAGGGGAGTCACCCTTTTATTGCCAAGGCTTAAGGAAAACTGCCTGAAAGGGAAGCACCTGTAATTCCAAAGAATGAACTTGGGGGAGGGGGCAGCTCCTGTTTTCTCTATAGTTCCTTAGAATGGGAGACACATCTTAAATCCACACTTCTCCCCTACATGTTAGTATTGCATAATGGATTGTCTCCTGCTACTTCAATCAAAAGTGCATCTGAAAGTCAGCATTTTCAAAGGAACTCATTATTTTTGTCCCAAACCTGTTCTTCCCATATTCTGTAATTACTGGCCAAACACAATAGCACATACCTTTAATCCCAGCACTAGAGAGGCAGAGGCAGGAAGATCTTTGTGAGTTAGAGGTCAGTATGATCTATATACTGAGTTCTAAGATGGCCAGGGCTACATAGAGAGACTGTTTCAGAAAAAAAAAAAAAAGATTATTATGAGCTGCAGAGACGGCTCAGTGGTTAAGAGTATCTGTTGCTCTTGCAGAGGACCTGGGTTCAGTTGCCAGCATCCATGTGGATTACAACCATCCTTAACTCGAACTCCAGGGGAGTAAAGAATGACATCTTCTTCTGACCTCCTTGGGTTCCAGGAATGTGGGTGGTATGCATACATACATACATGCAGGCAAAATACTCAGACAAATAAATAAGCCTAAACTATGTCATTTGTGTGTGATATCTGTAGTGCACATGTGGACATCAGAGGACAGCTCTGGAGTATGTCCCTTACGAGGGCTCCAGGGCTCAAACACCTATCATCAGGCTTGTATGGCAAGCACTTCACCTTAAAGAGCCCTTTCCCTGGCACCTCTTTCTTATATTTTGAGACAGAATCTCTCAATGAACCTGGACATTGCTGGCTGGCTGGATTGACTGGCCAGGGAGCTCCTGGGATCCACCTGTCTCTGCCTCCTCAATGGTAGCTTTACATGTACTTCCCACTGCATGGCTGTGGAGGTCTGACTGATGTCCTCATACTTGAGTGGAAGCGGTTTACCAACTGAGCCATCTCTCCAGCCTCTGTATTCTCTAATTTCTTGAATGGCACCCACCTGTGTACCTAGTCACAGAAATGAAAACATTTGAGTCATCAATCTCATTTTCCCTTCCTGCCCATTTTTATCTGGTGTTGGGGGTTGAATCCAGGGCTTCACGAATGTTAGCTAAGCACTCTGTGAACTGAGTCTATGTTGCCATCAATGTCTAACCTTGAAGTTACCTAAGAGGGGTGTGGTGGTTTGAATGAGAATGGCCCCCATAGGCTCATTTATTTGAGTGCTTGGTCCCCTGTTGGTGGAACTGTTTGGAAAGGATTGGGAGGTGTAGCTTTGTTAGAGGAGGTGCATCACTAGGGGTAGGTTTTGAGATTTCAAAAGCCCTTATCATTTCCAATTAGTTCTCTCTCTCTCTCTCTCTCTCTCTCTCTCTCTCTCTCTCTCTCTCTCTCTCTCTCGGAGATCAGATGTAAGCTCCCAGCTGCTGCTTCAGAACATGCCCTGCTGCCTACTGCCATCTTCTCAGCCATGATGGCCATGGACT